GGTTTAGGGGTTTAGGCGTTTAGCGGTTTAGGGGCGGAGGGGTTTAGGGTTGGAGGGGTTTAGGGCGTAGGAGTCGGAGTGCTGGGATCCAGGCCAAGGTCGCATGCCAAATCCGGACACCTCAACCCTAAAGCTCAAAAGCAGCACATTCTCCGGAGCCCTGAGAACCGAAATCCTAAGGCACTCAAAATGGAAGTTTAAGATTTAGCGTTTAGGGTGTAGTGGAGCAACCACAAATCGTATAGTGCCCAAACCGTCAGATGCCGTTTGAAAGTGCCGCCAAGCAGCTCGGAGTGCTTCAGCAAGGAATTCACGCCTCGGCCTGTCTTGAGTTCCACTTCGGTGGGGTTTACGGTTTAGCGTAGGTGGGCCTTGTAGGCTGCATGGAGTTAGCATTATTGGCGGTATTATTCTTAGATTGATGGTATTGTTATTACTATCATGAATATTCTGAGAAGTGTCTTGTTGCTACTTACTAGTATTATGAGGCATTCGTAGACTACGGTTTTGACGACTTCAGGGCACCATGCTCGTGTTCAGACTAGTCACTAGGATAAGACGGAGCCACTCTGCAAGGAGGAATCTGAAATCAAGGCCCCTAAACCCTACACCCTAAACCCTCAACCCTAAAGCCTAAAGCCTAATCTGGAACAACTTCCAGACACCACTGGAGCCTCGATGCGTGCTTTCGTCGTTCATGTATTCATACGGACCCTTGGGGGGTAGGGGCCCTGAATGCCTGTAATAAGGACCTAACAAAGCCTATTTAAGGAAGCACAGTCCCCTACCCCACTCCCCCTTACCCCCCCTAGGGGTCCCTATGATGTACGAATCCTACAAAAAAACGGCTTGGGGCTACTCGAGTACTCGCAAGTCCCGGCTGCTACTCTCACTATTCATCTCTTGGCTCAGGTCGGAGACCTTTGACGTAGCGACACTTGCTGTCGAGCATGGTTTAGGGTTTAGGGTTACCCTAAAGTAACGACACTTACTTTCAAACAATGGTGCAGTGATACATGCAGTAGTAAAGTACTAGCACTAAGAAAAGCAATAGCTTAACAACACAACTGATCAGCACAACCATGCTGGTCATCATAGTCGTTTTAACAACTGATCACACGAAGGGCTGCCAAGGGTACTCTTTGAACCCTAGAAACCCTCAAAAAAACCCAAACGCAAAGCCCCAAACCCGATTTATGAACCTCGACGTTTCAAGACTTCAGCTCGGTGGTTCAGGATTCTGGAGCCCTAAATCCTGAGCCCCAATTGTTGCAGGATTCTGCACACTAAAGGTGGACTTCGCGTTCCGTACACAGGGGGGGATGCAGCATTGTGGGGTTGCAGAAGTAAGGTTTTATAGGGCGCTATGGGGTGTTATGGGCTCTAATGGGCTTTTGGGGTTCAGTTTAGAGCAAAACCGTAGTGCTAGAGCCCTTGTTAGGATTGGCGGGGACCCTATAAAAGCACAGGCAGCACTCTTCAAGAGGAAGAAAGCAAACGCCTGCGAAGCCTCGCGAACAAACCTGTGTCCCCAAAACCACACGACGCACCTACGCCCTAAACCCTAACTCTTAAATCGAACACACCAAGCTCTCCTCATCCCTAAGGTGCCCTGTAGGACCCACTATCCGGGCGCCCCGGCTGAAGTATTCCGGGTCCAGGCCATTTGTTGTGTGGATCAGGACGCTCTCGGCATCCTCTTCTTCAGCGGGCTGTACTACAGGGGGCCTTAACAAATTGGAACAAGGTCTACGGGTAGAGTATAAAGCCTAAACCCTAAACCCTAAACCCTAAACCCTAAACCCTACTGTATCAAATAAGGAGCCACAGGAATTGCGCTTGGGGCTTCTTGGGCATGTTCACTGCCAGCGCAACCCTGAGTCCCAAAAGCCCAACCTCTTGGCTCTTGCAGGGGCCGGCGGTTTAGGATTTAAGGGTTTAGGGTTTAGGGCTCCCCGTTATACTTATGATATAATATACCCAAAACCCCTGTTCTAATTATTAAGGCCCCCATCGAACACTCGCCGAAATGCGAGCTTCAGCGCAGCAAGAGGGCCCCTACAAGAAACCCTAAGCCCTAAGCCCTAAGCCCTAAACCCTAAACCCTAGACCGTAAGCCCTAAGCAATAAACCCCAAACCCTAAACCGTAAACCCTCGAACGAGGCCCGGAAGCCCTCGAAGCGACTCCCAGGAAGGACTTGTGGGTTCGAGGCTTTCGGATTACCTGTGGCCTAGAAGGCCTACCTTCTTTTAGGAACTATACCTCTTTATAAGGGTGCCGTACTATATTGGGGACCGAACAAGGGACCCTATTTTAGATAACTACCCACATAGAATCGATAATAAGGAGCCATAAAAGAGGTAGGTCTTTTCGGCTACAGGTAAGGTTGAGGGCTGAGGGCTTTGGGTTCAGGGTTTAGGGTTTAGAGGTTTGGCTCTGGGGCTTGTGACTTGGGCTGCTGGCCTTCGGGTTTAGTGTACGTAGCTACCTACAGTCACAAGCTGCTATGCGGTCATATTACTGTCATACAGTCGTGCTAATCACTGCAATGTTATGCGGTCATATTACTGTCATAGAGTCGTGCTAATCACTGCAATGCTATACGGCTCAGAATACTGATATACTTACTAGCTGGGCAGTTCCTTCATGAATGTTGCTTCACAACTCCATACGATAGTATACACCATGTAAAAACACCGGGTATATCGGTAAAGCAGGCGGCCCCAACCAATCCCAAAAGAACCTGCAGCCACGGACCCGAACCCCAAGCCCGAAAGAGAAGTCTAGGGTTTAGGGTTTAGGGGTGTTGGGCGTTGGGTTTAGTTTTTGCTATGGGGTTTAGGGGTTTAGGGTTTAGGGGTGTAGGGTTTAGGATTTAGGCCGCGCCTTGCCGTGCATCTTCAAGCGACGATGCACGCGTTGCATGTCGAAGTCGTGACCTCTGCCCATTTCGGTCCCAAAGCTCAAGGGTTTTTGGCTGATGGGGTGGGGGGGCTCAGAGACACGGAGTGTTCTAGGATGAACCTTAGGTTTAGGGTTTGGGGTTTAGGGGTTTAGAGGTTGGAGGTTTGGGTTTTGGGTTTTGGGGTTTGGGGGTTTTGGGGTTTAGGGTTTAGGGGTTTAGGGGTTACTCTGGCAAACCATAGCCTTAAAAATGCCTAAACCCCAGAGGTAATCATGAAGCCCGAACCCAAACAAAGCCAACAAGCCAAAAAAACAACCTGCTAAGATGGGAGTCCATAATCATAGCACCACGCTCCCCGGACGAGGACACCAGGATTGAGCTTCAGGTTTTCGGGGGTTTAGGATTTAGGGCCTAGGGTTTAGGGCTTACGGCTCAAGCAGGGGGGCTTACGGCTAAAGTAGGGCTTTTTGAGTCATTTGGATCCACGGTGTCCGGAACTCGGGCGATTCATCCGTGATGTTGGGGTGTGACTTCGGAAACTTTCGGGTCGATGAAACCTGAACTTTTTAGGGTTTAGGGTTTAGGGCTTAGGGAACCGTAATCCCATGGGCATTTAAACTCTGAGACGCAACGTCCATGGCCCCCACAAACAACAAACTGCGAATGCTGCTAATGCTGCTGCTGCTGCTGCTGCTGCTGCTGCTGCTGACCACCACCACCACCACCACCACTACCGCCACCAGCACCAGCACCAGCACCAGCACCACCACCACCACCAGCACCAGCACCACCACCACCCCCACCACCGCCTCAATCACGACGACGACTGCTGCTGCGACCGATACTGCAACAGAGACGCGTGACAGCGGTAGCTTGCAATTGAGGCTGATGGTGGTCACGGCAACATCGATGCAGTGATGATGGTAGTAGTGACTATGATGACGACGATCGTCTCGGCGGTCGGCAAATCATGACAAGGAAGCTGGAATCGTTAAACCGTTCGAGGCGTTAGCGCTTCAGGCTTTCTGGTTCACTTTAGGTTTGTCTGTTTCAGGATTCAGGAGCTATGTAAGGTATGAGGCTGTAAGGACACGGTAAACATGATGTGCTGAGAACCACACTTTAAAAAAGAACCATTCACCTTAAACCAGTAACCTTCAGACTCGAACCCCTACTTGCAACATAAGAAGTGCCGGGCAGCTGTTCACATTCCGCTTCACGACTTTCACGCTGCTCTTGAAGAAAGCCTCCGCCCAGCCGTCGGAAAAGCGCTCGCAAGGACGAAACGCATGGGAGGCTCATTCAAGCAGATACTATAACATGTTACCGTCATGTGCTATAAGATACTATACATACTCTAAGTTACTATGGTTACTAAGGTCTGAACGTGCCTCTTTTTGCCATGCTCAGGTTTCCGTCACGAAGTCGCAGGTCGTCGTCATGCCTTACCTTTCACTCTCTACTTGCCTTGTCGTTTATGGCTGACGGCGTTGTGTCTCCACAATCCACGTGGCTCTGACGGTCTGGGGTTTGGCGCCCAAAATGCCGCAAAAGCCCATCTAAAGAGCCAGCAAACAAGCCAAGCTATCCAAGTGAAGACACTAAGGCTCAAGCCTTAAAACCGCAGACCCACGAAAGCCTCCAACGCCCAAACACGGGCATTGACACCCCCCAAGCCACCCACAGCATCGTTTCAAAAAAGGAGCGGCTTATACCTTATAACAAGAAGAAGCAGAAGAAGAGGAAAAAGAAGAAGAACAACAACAACAAGAAGAAGAACAGGACAAAAATCAAGAACAAAATCTAGAAGTAGTAGTCATAGTTGTAAAAATAACTATCATCATCATCGTCATCATGATCATAGTAGTAATAACAGTAGAAAGCCATGATAGTGATGATGATAGTTATTATTATTGTTATTCTTATTATAGTAATATTAATCATAATAATAATCATCATCATCATAATCATAATCATAATAATAATAATAACAATAAAAATTGCTCATCAAAGATGAAGCAGGCAAGAGCAGGCAACGAAGACTCGAACTCTTTTTCAGGGAACGCGGCAAACAACAAGTGAAGTCTTTTGTGCTCTAACTACCTGGGCTGTACAGGGATTATCCCAGAATTGCAGCTTATGCACATGTAGCGCGACCCTAAAGGACTCATGATCATCTGGGGAATTAGAAGAGCCGACACCTAGCCCCAAACCCCAAAACCTTTCCAGCCAGCATGGCTTCGACACACTGGCGCTCGCACACTGTAGGCCTCAGGAGCATGCTCACTCCCCCAATGGAGAAGCCATTCCATTGCATGCTGCTGCACACAAGAGTCAGGGCCCCCATCTGCAACATCGACACAGCTTACGATGCAACATCTCCTCATCTCGATCGAGACATCTGCATGTTTCTGCTGCGTGCACGTAGCGCCCAGATTTTGTAAAGCAGACAACCCGGTCGTTCCCACTTGCATCTCGTCTCGAAGGCAGGCCCGACCCCTGAACCTCAAAGCAATACCTACACAGGCTACGTTGGATAGGTTGCCCCGAACACCGCATGGGAGGGCAATCTGTTCCGCTATGTAAGCATCCACCATGCTGCGTCAAGTACACAAACGGAGCCAGATCTTCACCTCGACAGCTGAGGATTACTTTCTGCTTCACCCCTTGAGGTCGCCTAAACCGATCCAACGGAACCCGCTCCCTCAAGTTACCTAAACCCGGGAGATTTGGAGCCTCTCGTAACCCGCCCAATGCATCCGAAGCTGCCTGAACAGCTCTTGGCCCAACTATCTCAACCGGCCTGCTTCCAGTCCCAGAGCGATTGACTCGCTGCCGCAGCACTCCTGGACTGCTGTGCAACCCTAGAACCTCGGAAGGATTCTGATCTCGCACTTCTGCTGCACTAGCGCTTCCTGCGCCATGATACTGCACACGGGTAACCGCAGGGCCTAAACCGGGATCTACGGGAGGAGGGTCCTCCACACGGGTCACCGCTGGGACTAAACCGCTAGGGCCTAGGGGTTGAGGTGTTGTGACTCCTCCTCCAGTCACCGTCTCCTCCGCCCTGATATGATGACGGGTACCCTGTGGGCCTAAACCATTAGGGTCTAATGGGTCAGGGTCCTCCACACGGGTCACCGACGGGCCTAAACCATTAGAGTCTAACAGGTTAGGGTCCTCCGCCCTGGATGCCATCCGCCCTGCACCACCTGAACCCGCTTGATCCCCACGTGAAGCCTCCACTGGCCTCTTGCCAAACCCTACTCCTTTGCCTTCGCCGCGCGAAGACTTCTGAATCTGTACCCGAGGCTCCCCCCGGCCCACGCTTTCAGTAGAAGCAAAAGAGTCTGGACCACTCCACCTAGTCTCAGCTGTACTTCCTGTGACCGTAATATTAATCACAGGTGAAGCTAGTTGATCACGATCACCCCTAGTCGTTCTCGGCGTTTCACTCGACACAGGTTCTCCCTCTACATGACCAGTGTCACCAGTACTTATACGCTTGTCCCCAAAATACCTCCATCCAAGAAACAAACAACCAGCATCTAGAAGCATGCTAACTACAACAATCAATCCCAAAACGAACCACAACTCCCATGTCCCCTCAGCATCGCCCACACTCAACTCACTTCCCGAATGTCCCCTGGCAACATGCGGAAGGGTGGCAATGCTCAAAGCAACCAACCTAGACGTAGCACCATGACCACCCGAGCTAGACCCACCACTAGGCGAACCCTCTCCATCACTGCCTGACCGAGCAGTCCGTACAGCTCCCCCAGTCGCAGTGCTTCCAGCAATCGACAGAGATTGATCTGAATCCTCAGAACTACTGGTGTCATCTTCTCCTACTTGATACACCTGGTGTTGTAACTCAACAACCGGCGCAGGATCCTCATGATCCACAACAGGGTAGTTCGGGGGACGAGCTACAGTAGGGGTCCTAGGTGAGCCCAACCCTGCAATCAATGTCCGTCGAAACGCATCCTCACGAAGATGTTCTGGCACGTCTTCCGCATTTTCATATGCTGAACGAAGATCAGCATAATAAGCATCCCTTATATCATCATACGTAGCTTCTTCGATAGGAACCAAGTCTCCTGACGCCAACGGGATCATGACTCGCTCCACATCGGTACGTTCGCTCAATTCCGGTTGCGTGTTGAAGAGGGATTCGGGTGAGGTCTGAACACCTACAGACTGTACCAGCAAGCACTGACCACTGGATACTTCGCTCACCGCGGAGCGTGATGATCTCATCCTGGCTTCTCTAACCCTGTGAAAACACCTGCTAGCAAGCCTCCCAAGACCCTCAGCCACATAAACTCCACACCCAACACCTAATCCCAACACAAATCCGAAAACCAAGGTAGTACCAGTTGACTCCGGCAACCTTCCTTCAAAAGCCTTCGCACCATTAGCCTGCACAAGCATCAGCAAAGCCAAAAGAATCGGAGTGAATCCTGACGGCTGCGTCCTCAAGGCTGCTACACTGGGCCTCGGTGGATCATCGTTTGCACTTACATGCGGATTCAACAAATCACACAACTTGACAAGGTCTTCCAACCTCGCCGGTCCAACTGGCTTCGTACCCAAGTCCGCAGGCATATAAACCCCATCTAGGTGTGCTAGAGACCATACTTCATTCTCAATGTCCTGTCTGATGATAGCTCCTCGGAGTCGTAGATGCCTTGTCCTCCACGACCCCGATTCCAGGATACAAAGCTGCACCGCCGCCGCGTTGTCACAATACAGATGGCAAGTGACGTCCTGTTCACCTACCTCCATCAATGCAGCCACCGTAGGTCTGAAGGCCTTACCCATCAAATGTCCTTCTGCAAGAGAGTAAAGCTCACTTTCAGCCGTATGAGCAGCAATGAGAGTTTGACGAGCCGCGGCCCACAACACTAAAGCCCCAGCCCAATACAAATGCACCGAACCAAAACTTCTACACTGTTCGTCCGCTGCAAACGATGCATCCGTATACACATCCAGTGTCATGCTTGTTTGCCGATGTCTCAGCTGCCCCCACCTTCCACATTTATCATCTGCTGCCTTGTAGTGAAGACTAACTCCGGGAGCTCCCCTCAAGTACTTCACCACATGCTCTGCTCGCGCGAGGGCTTCACGAGGGCACGGCACAATCTTTTGCGCAGCCATGCTTACTGCATATGCCAAATCAGGCCTAGTGCGTCCAGCCAACCACAACAGCTGACCAACCAGACCCTGAGATTTCTTCGTAAGGTCCCGCTTTTCAGCTTCATCAATCACATCATCAAAGCTACCCATCTTCACAGCCGGCGTCCGTTCAACCCCGACAATCTCTTCGTTCTGTTCAAGCAAGTCCTGAACGTAGCTTTCTTGATGCAACCGAATCCCATGAGCTGTCTTCTGAAGCTCATATCCTGCAAACTTCATCTGATCCCCAATGTCAGCGATCCATTCAGGCGAGGATAGCTCCCACTGATCCTGCAAGGCTTTTATCACCGCCTCGCAAATAGGCCGCTCAGCTCCAATCAATATGTCGTCCACATAGAGAGCGATAAACCCAGTCATCTGACCCTCTGAGTCGCTATCCTCCTCCCCACTGGGAACCCTGATAATGCGGAGCAGATTTGCGTCTTCCAACATTTTCGAGAGGCGCAATTCGCCCCCTTCACAAGGAATACGAAGTCCTGCTAGAACCTTGTCTCTGTAGTTAGACCAGGACTTTGGTGCTGATGCAAGTCCGTAGAGCGCTTTCTGTACTCTCCAAAACTTACAATCTGTCACACCTGTCTCTCGCAAAATGGAGGGCACGCGGACTATGGTGACAAGGCGTCGGCCTTCTCTCTGCTGTTCAAGCAGCGGTGCTTGTAGGAACGCCGTACGCACATCCACAGACGCGAGCACCCACCCAGAATGAAGTGCGCATCTACGGATCATCAAGCGGAGCGATTCGGCCCCCGCTCCGCTCGCATAGAGCTCGCTTCGCTCGCTGCTTCCACCTTGGCAATAATTGCCGCAACCAACTATCCGGGATTTTCGCCTTCCTGACGACTTGTGGACGTATACTAGTTTTCCCGGAATGACTTCCAAAGTAACATCTGGGTCCTCAAGTAACTGCTTGTACTGGCTGTCTGAAAGCTCCTGTACAGCTCCAGTCCGGGATACAAGAGATTGGTACTCTTCGGTCATTGATGGAACCCACTTTTCTGGCTCTCTGCGCACTTGATCGGCTCCAATGATTTTCGTTTGTAGAGGTGGAGGGTCAGAAGGATCCTTGGTCCCCGAGTCCAAACCTTCGGCTTTGGCCCCTTCTTTTCCTTCCCCAGTCATCACAGGATCCACAATTGACAAGCTTCTCAAGACAACTGGTTTTGCAGAATTCAACAGCTGGCTTTCATACCCCTGCAACTCATGCCCCTGACACTCAAGTGCTTCCAGAGTGTTCCAGTAAAGCTTGTCCGCGCTACCACTGACCTGTTCACAGCCTTCTTCTTCTGCTGTCTGAAGAAGAGCACAAACCTTCTGATGCTGTACCGCAACTTCATCCAGCACACTTGAAACATCAGCCATCATCGGCCAGCCAACGCCATTTAGCTCTATGCATTCTGAATCACTCAGCACTGTAGCTGGGCAGGGCTGCAGTCCACAGATTTGCCACGGAACCTGAAAACAACCCCAGCTCTCAATACTTCCCTCCTGAGCACAGCCCTCGTGGAGAAAATCGCACTCGAACTGGTTCGTTTCATCAATAGTTCTCTGGAGCCTCCTAAGTTCGATAGCCAAACACCTCAGTGCAACAGCTTTAGGACACGAGCTGGGAAACTCCTCACAGACGGTAACCTTCCGACCACCATCTCCAATCAGCTCTATCCCCTTGTCATTGAGAAGGTTCCTGCTATACCCAACCCGAGGACAACCACCGCCCCCCAGACTGCGCAAGCTAACAGTCGACTCCCCTGAGCCACTTTCCGAGACAGGGTACCCTCTATGACTTGGCGCCAGCAAACCTTCCACACACGTCCCTTCATTAACACCCTCAGCTCTACCCCTATCAGCACACAGCTCCTGACTACCAGGAAGTCCTTCTTGCATCTCCAGATACTCAGGAACTCTCATAGAGACCTCCTGCAGACCCTCCCCAAGGCCCTGAGCACTCTCAGAAACGCAAATCATCCAGCTTCGAAATTTTCAAACTTCCCGATGCTGACGACCCCGTCGAACTTACTGAAGCCCCCCCCGATTGCAGCAGTGGGATCGGGACCTCGAAGTTTGAAAGAGGATGAACCAGTCCAAGCGTACTTAGAAGCCCGGCCCCGACCCCCCTTCCAGGTATGTGTAGTTCGCACTGGCTCGCCACCCTGAAACTGCTGCACACAGTATCTAATGTCACCAATCCAGTCTCGATCAAACGGCAACCACTCATGGGCCGAGGGTACAAACATTTGCCGTCTAGGCACCGGATGGTACCTGGTCAGGACCTGTGCACCGTGATTGTAACCCCAAAACTCATCCTTACTTGCAAACCACTCAGCGTCATCAATGACACCACCCTCTGACAGAGGAGGATCTGGATCTGCGTCACAAGGCTTCTCAACACTCTTCCCATCCACTGCTAGAATTGGCACAGACAGAACACCCACAATAAGATAACGAGCCTTGGAGGTATGCTCATCACGCCCCTTGACAAAAGGCCCTGCCGTATCCACAGAAAGACACCATGACTGTGGAGTAAGCACACGACGATGCTGCTTCCTCCTTGCTCCCCCTTTCAAACATGTAACGCAATCGTTGCGATATGGAGTGTGATTCTGCTGCAAATGATGTAGAAACCCAGGATCAATCTTCCGCATTTCACCTCCAATCGAGACTTGGTGCCTCATCAAAGCAAACCCTCGATGTAGCATGCCACTCATTGCCTGCACAAGGCCTGGAGCCCACTCCGTCCAAAGCTCCGCAACGACACCAAAGTCTCTCTCAGGAATGTAGTCAATGACCTCCAATGGGAACCCCACACTCAACCAAAACCGGATCTGGCTCCAGATTGGTTCCCAAACAAGTGGGGCGACGCTTTCTGTGGCCCATGGGTCCCTGGAAGAACCTGATCTTCGTCATTCCTGTACAATGCTCAATGGCCTGCCATTCTGGAGTATTCCACAACGAAACACCCTCTTGATCACACTGATTGCCGAGATCTCCCTTAACCTCAAGCTCTGAACAAGGGTGCTCCACGATGCAAGCCGGCTCCGGAATGCCCTTTGCCCTGTTAGACTCAAAGGCCAACAGAATAAGAGTGAAGAATCTCAGGATCAAGACATCATCCACATTCCTCTGCGCCCGCTCTTGACATGACAAATCAGAGACCCCAAAAGCCCCTACACTCTCACTCGGCAATCTTATGGGTCTAGGGCCTTGGCCTGTGCTTTCAAACAAACCTCGCGCCGCAGAGAAGGTTCTACCGGGAGGACCCCCGACTATGGCTCGAACCCTGCCATCACGGGCTTGACGAAGCAGATAACGATAAGTGCTGTCGCACAGCAAGTCAGTTGACTCACCTACTGTCAGATGAGCGAAGTCCCACCGATGGGCAACCGCCTCAAAGACCCTCTTCGCCCTTCCACAAAACGCATGGATCACAACACCTTGGGACTTAGCACAGCTCCTCCTAGTTCTCCTGTTCCAGGTTGGGGGTTCTTCCGTAGAGTCTTGGAGGGATACCACACACTGCTCCAGTGTTTCATTGCACACTCCCGGAAAAAGCCTAGCAATATACACACTGAAGGCCGCATCCGCCTGCGAATCCCCGTCCCCCATTAAGCCGACCAGGTCCCTGGTTCCCTTGGTCTTTAAGTCCTCAATGATGCATCTCAACCTTGCACCCCTTGTGTCATGCTGCCCCACGTACAGCTCGTACTGGTCGATTAGCTCCAAAGCAACGCCCTCGTCGACCTCTGGACAGCCGGTGCTGGTGTCAACATCAAGTTCCCCAAACTTGGGGTGATATACTCTGCACCTCGAGGCATTCCAATCAATGCGGTAACCGAGCCGTAACAGTGCCTTCACAGAAATTATCGGCGAAACCGGAACCCCGCTGAGCAAAGTACCATACTGATTGACATGTAAATCGCAGCTCCCGCACGCCAACCGTACGGGTATCGTTGGCAACGACCTCTCCGAGCTATGAGCAGTGCGTAGACACGCCGTCGCGCCCCCGTCTATGAGCCCCCTGCGGCCATGCTCATTGGCCCTGCTGAGAACCTCCGAGGCACTCTTGATGTCACATCGAACGGCTGACAGACGAAGGCTCTGAAGAATCTGAGCAGCCTCCTTGATTGCAGCCTCCGAAATGCTGCCTTGGCTACCAGTTCCCCTCTGCGTTGTCTTCCCCCCCTGCCCCCTTGGACCCTTGGGATTTCCCCGATCGGTTGCCTTACCTTTTCCTTCCTTGTTCTTAAGCTCCGCGTCACCACTTGTATTAGGGGTCTCGCCATCCGCCTTTGGAGCCTTTCCTCCTCCTGGTGCCTTGCACTCGTGCTTGTGATGACTCCCGCCACACACCCAGCACCCCCCCGGACGTTCAGGAGTGTGAGCCAGCGTGCACAATCTTCCCTGAGGACATCCAGCTTCTGTAGACCAGGCTGGGCAAACTTTACGTGTATCCTTTCCCCCTCTTCCTGCCCCAACACCCGCTGTTTTCCCCGCCTCATCCCCCTTCTTACCCTTCTTACCCTTTCCTTTATCATCACCAGGGTCTGAGGCAACAGCTGCTATGCGCTGTCGCTTGTTCCCTGCATCAGGCATGGACACAGACAACAACTCCATCTCAGCAAGCAAAGTCCTGGTATACTCTTCCACTGCTTCCTGAGTCGGAGTTGTATCAAGCTGAAGCTGCATACGAATAGCCTGGATACGGAACAGGAGATTGGGATTGGCTTGAAGAACACCCTTCATGCACTTGTCTACCCCATCCAGAAGCAGGGAGCTATCCGGCACGCTAATCTCCATAGTCTTAGCCCTCTCAAGATGCCGAAACCACTTCTGCAATGTAGCTACCGCGCAGGACGCGGTGTCGCACACTGGGAGCCCTGTAAGCCCCTTCAGAAGTTCAGACCTCTCAGACAAACCCCCGGGCTGAAACACTCTCATTGCGAGGAACAGCAAACATGTGCATGTGACGCTCCGCAAACTTAACGCCTGTTCATACAAACTAGACGGTAGAGCCTTTGTCAACATCGCTACACCCCTTGCCTCAATCCTCACAAACCTTTCCATCTGCAGAGTAGCGCTAGGCCTACACAACAGCTTTGATCTTTCAAGTGGCTTTGCTTTGCACCACCTATCATACTCCGCCTTGGCCTCCGAAATCACTCGCTGCCACCACTCATGACCCCTTGGCGCCAAATCGTTAAAAAACGGCGTCACCTTATGAACCCAATCACTAAACCGCATAGCCGGATTAGGATCATTAACTGGTCCCAGAACTGGCAACTCCCACAACGTTCTCTCACCTGGCCTAAAATCCTTTGCCTCACCCTCCTCCAACAACTGACGACCCTCAAGATCAGCAGCTCGCACAGCGGTATCCCTCTGCGGCTCACGGGGAGGGCTAGCTGGAGGTGGAAGCTTAGGAACCTTGGTACCACCTGGCGTAGCTGGGGATGCATTAGCATACCCTGCAACCTGCACTGGCATTCTGGGCGGGCTGGGGTTAGGTGATCTAGAGGGCCTCCTAGGGTAACCTGACCTAGCACCCGAGGGGGACCTACTCCCTACCCTAGCACCCCTAAAGTACTGCCCACAGCATGCTCCCGTTGGAGACACTTGAGGTGGCGGAGGCGGCGGTGGAGGCGCCTGCGGCTTTTGACGCTCAACTGGAGAAAGAGACCTGAATGGAGTCGGCGCACTTGCAGCAAAGGGATTTCCAGTCTCCTTTGCACCTTGATCCCCATCCTCTATTGCAAAGTATTTTGGCTGTTCTGACTGAAGCACCACTTCACCCTTTGCATTAAAGATACCCTTCCTAGGAACCCCGTTGACCATCACCGTAACCGAGGCTGGTACCTCAACCGAAGCCATCTCTCGAGTTTCAACCTTCTGATTCTCAAACTCGGCACGGTCAAGATTCGGTTTTGTGGCACTACTGCTGAACTGAGGCATGCCTGCGCAGCTGGTTCCAGTTGGAACGGGCCAGGGCTCACGAGCTGAGCCACGCATCTCGACATCTGGACCCTCCAAATCCCGAGGATCTGTTATGTTTAGTTGCTGCATAGCCCTTGTAGCGGCCAAAAACCTGTCACCTGGGCCTACGGCTGGCAAGGACGGTGCACGTACATCCTCTGACTGAGCGAAGCTAGTCCATGGAGGCTGGAGTTCTAAGAGTAGGGGCCCAACCATCATCACCGCGAGAACCGATACCCTTACCTGTCTTCAACCGGAACTCCCCAGATGATCTTGCATTTATACCCTCAGTGAAACTTCTACCTTCATCCTGGACTCTACCTTCACTATGTACAGAGCCTGCCCATCCTACATCACAGTCAGCTGAACCTCGACGCTGGGCATCCAGTCTCTCGTGCTTCAGCTGCGCGTTCTGTTCAAGCAGCTGTTCGACCAGAAATTCCAGATGCTCCATCCTCGTAGCCTCAACTCCCAGTGGTCCACCACCAGGCCTAATACGGCTCACACCTTGAGCCTCCTGTGAAGCTTGCACTGTAAATCCAGCTTCTTCCCAGCCTGAAAACACAGATGGATTCCCACGACCCTTCCCAGGTCTCGGCCCTCCATTCAGCAGAGCTGTATCACGCCCTCGTCCTGGAAGTCGCTCCTCAACCCCACGCTGACCCAAGCCAGAAATTCCCTCCGGCCTCACAGACTCCAAGTGAGATTGAGCCTCTCTAACTCCATGGTATTGCTCTCGATTTCCAGATGGCCCCAGCAGCCTATCCTGCTGTAATTCATCTCTCTCCGGGGAATGAACACCACCCTCTGCAGACTCGAAATCATACTCTGGTTCCAAACCATCAGCTCGAGCAAGAACGTCTGCTGCCGCCTGCTCATCTGAAGTCTGCTCTACAGAGTGGCCAGTTCCACGCACAGACGTCCCGTCTTGCTGATCCAGCCTAATCTCATCTGCAGCAGTGTCACTCGTAGAGTCTGGAACCCTACCGGCTCCTGACACATCCTGCCTCACCTCTGCTTCATAGTTCGGCTCTAAGCCTGAGCCCGCGGAATCCATGGCGCAGCGGTCAGAGCCCTTGGGCTCATAACCTGCTCATCAAAGATGAAGCAGGCAAGAGCAGGCAACGAAGACTCGAACTCTTTTTCAGGGAACGCGGCAAACAACAAGTGAAGTCTTTTGTGCTCTAACTACCTGGGCTGTACAGGGATTATCCCAGAATTGCAGCTTATGCACATGTAGCGCGACCCTAAAGGACTCATGATCATCTGGGGAATTAGAAGAGCCGACACCTAGCCCCAAACCCCAAAACCTTTCCAGCCAGCATGGCTTCGACACACTGGCGCTCGCACACTGTAGGCCTCAGGAGCATGCTCAAAAATGATAACACTTATTATTACTAATATATTAGCAACAATAATAATAACAACAACAACAATAGTGATGACAATCATACTAACAATGTAGACCCAAGGAAGAAAGCAGCGCCTTGTTAGCAGGTCCCAAGACAAAGCCGCAGAATCAAGAAAAGAACGCCCTGTGCAAGATTCATCACAGTCGGGCTCTGGGACTATATAAGTTGATGAGGGCTACTCTAATTGGAACCATTAAGCCTGATGCGTAAGGCATAAGCCCAGTGAGCCCATGAGATACATCTAAGCCCCCAACCCCGAACACCAGACCCTCGACCCGAAGCGCTTACCCACCAACCGAACCCCTAAACTCCACAACCCCAAACCCTAAACCTCCAAGCCCAGGAACCCTGAACCCTCAACCCTAAACCCTAAAGCTGCAAGCCCAATGAAAGCCGAATAAAGCTGGCCTCCATGCGATCCTTATCCTGGCGCTCCTGCATGGGTGAAGATTGCAGGTTCAGGGCTGGGCCACCCTACAATCCCAAAGCCTCAACCCGAAAATCCTAGGCCCCAGTCTAGATCCGGTACCCCCAAAGCCCTCAACCCTGAAAGCCCTATCTCCGATGTCCAGGGAGTCTGACAGGTAGGGGCTTCCAGGTTCCAGAGCTTCAGAAAGGGGCCTGAAGAATCAGCTGAATAGAGGGACCTTCATGGTTAGAATGAGGCTTTGGGGGGGCTCCTTCATAGCATAGTTAAGGAATAATCTAGGCTTCTATATGAGGCCTTGGTAGCAGGACGGTTTTAGGGTTGAGGGGATTACATCAAGGTTTCCGCAAGGCTTGATGTCAGGGTTGCCATACTATGGGGACCGGAAGAACTGATCTTGGTTTTCGTGGTTGGCAGAGGGGTATAGTGTGGATATGTTGAGAAATCCTACGGAAGCTTTGCTGATTCTAATAATTCAGGCCACTATATTAGTCGTTTCGGGGCTGGTGTGAACGGGGTGTCTTGTTTGCGATCTCGGGTTAGGGTTTTAAGATTCAGAGTTTGGGGTTTAGGGTTTTGGCTTTTTGCATGTGGCCTTTGGGCTTTAGGGTCTCGGGTTTAGAGTTTTAGCGTTTAGGATCTCAGGTCCGTTGTTTCAAAAGGTTGCGGACTTGCGGTCGCTGAACAAAGATGTAGCGCGGCAAAAGCCTCTGAAGGCCTTTCACAACCCCTAAACCCTAAACCCTAAACCCCTCAACCCTAAATCCTAAACCCCAAACCCCCAGAACCCTAAACCCCTAAACCCTAGACCCTTAAACCCCTAAACCCTAAACCCTAAACCCCTAAACCTTAAACCCTGAAACCGGGAAGGCGAAACTGGGCCTGAACCTTAAATCAAAAAGCCCAGCTTACACTACAATGCCCCTAAGCTCTCATCCCCAAGCAGCTCACTAAACCTCACCACCAAACCCTGAACCCTAAGCCTCCTGCCAGTGCAGCCTACGGCTTAGGGTTTAGGGTTTCGGAGCCCCTGCACGGTTCTCCTAGACCCCCAAAAACCCCATGAGCATCCCCTTGTGGTCTCCAAGGTTCCACTACAGTATACTCTGCAAAACCCTACTCTAATCCTTCAGGCTCCCCCCCCCCCCATATCAGCCCTAAAGACCCTACCCTCAAGCTAGCACACATAGCAGCTATGGCAACGAATGATTCGTGGAATCAACCTTTAACAAGTAGTCATAGTGTCACGGCAATGATTCTAAGGTCTCAGGGATCCTTTAAGGGATCCCTTTAAGGGATCCTTTAAGGGATCCTTTAAGGGCTCCTTCTTTAAGGGGCCCTACAAGGGCTCCTGTTTTGAGGGCCGCCTCTGTTTTTGGGTCCTCTGCGTTGAGCCCAAGATCCAAGAAGCCAACAAGGTCTGGGTAGCTTCCTTTTGGGTTGAGGGGGTGTGGCTTTACGATTTAGGGTCAAGGGTTAGGGGCTGTTTATGGGTGAGCTCGGCTTTGCGGAGTTCCTGAACGAAGGGGTACCAAAATGGTTGGGCGACTTGCAATGAGGACGGGTCAGAACAAGAGCAAGTCACTTCGAAGCGACGCAAAAATAAGACACGTCGAAGCTCACCGTTTGGGGTGACGAGTAGATGTCCAGACGCATAGTCTGAAGAAGAGTGACGCAGCATGTCACAGATCTGAGCCGGCACCAGGTCTTTCAAACAATTTCAAGTTTGGTCTTCATATACGGCCCCCTCCTCGGATGCACAGACTGCTGGAGGAATCGACCTCGGTCGCGGCTGCGGGTTTAGATCCCCTAAAACCTAAGCCCTAAACCCTAAGCCCTAAACCCTAAACCCTACATCCTCAAACCCTAAGACCCTAAACCCTGAAACGCAGTCCTCGGCCGAGTACTTCAGGAGAATGCCCTCGTTCTCCGGGTGATCCTGGTCTGAGGTAGTCTCCCGGATCCCACGGTTTAGGGTCTTAGGGTCTTAGGGTCTTAGCGTCTTAGGGTCTTAGGGTCTTAGGGTCTTAAAACCTTAACGTCTTAAGGGTCTTAAGGGTCTTGACGGTCTTTGGGTTTAGGGCTTAGGATCTCGAAGGTTACAACGTTACAACCAAAGCCCAAAAAGGCGACCTAGGGCAGTTGAGAGGGTCTAGCAGTCTAAGATTTGACAGCTTTTGCTTTTCAGTTTGAAAGTTAGGGTTTAGGGCCTAGCATCTAGGGCTAGGGTTTAGGGTTCTGGGTTCTGGGTTCTGCGTTTTAGGGTCTTAGGCCCCTAAACCCTAAAGCCTGAGACGCTAAACCCTTAATCCCTAAACCTTGAACCCTGAGACCCTAAACCCTAAAGGCCCTAAGACCCTGAACCCTAAACCCCCAGAGGGACTTGGGGTTCTGGAGAAGGGGGGGGGGGGTCGGGGGCGGTCTGCCTTGCAGCTTTCATCTTGGAGCCCTGGTTTGAAGCGTCTTTTCGGGCTTTGGGTTTAGGGTGTTTAGGGTTTAGGGTTTTGGGTTTACTGTTCAGGGTTGCTTTCTTTGTGATCATTCGCTGTTGGGTGGCCGTCCGAAAAACCCCAAAAGGCCTAAACTAGAACAAACTTACAACCAATGACCAACCTTAGGCCCTAACCTCTAGCCCTAAAGTATCCCCCCTCAACAAGAAGAGTAGAGAACTAAACTACACCCTAGAGCCCCATCCAACCCCTCAACCCAAAGACTCCAAGCCCAGAGCCCCGAATGCAGCCGAAAAGCAATATCTGCCATATCCATGAGGCGGCTGAACTCTTCGAGTCCTGCCTGATGGGCTTTAAGCCTTTAGTTCTTTGCGCTTTTTGGGATTTGGGGCTCTAGGTCTCGAGGATGAGGATTGGCCCTAGATCGGGCTGGGGGATTCTGAGCCGTTGGTGGGCAGAACCCTCGAAGCCGCGGTTTAGGGATAAGGGTTTAGGGTAAGTGAAGACGGCACAGCGGGGCTGGAACGTGCTGCAAGACCTAATCCAGGGCCGTAGTGACTTGAACAGGCTTTGAGGGCACAGTATGGTATACTTACAACCAGGAACCCTGCGGAACAAGGCTGGCAATGTGGGGTCTTGAGCATATTATTCTAGTCTTCTGATATAGGAACCTTGGGGAGTAATATGGGGTTTGGGTTTAGGGGACCTTGGCTAGATTGGCTCTATTTAAACCCCTGAAAGAAACATGTGTGAATAAGATCCTCTTCAGCCCACCCCAGGCCGACCTAGCTTGTATTTGTCCCAAGTCGAAGTCTGATTAGGCAGGGGTCTGAGAAGTGGGGTTTAGGGTTTAGGGTAGTTTTACCTAAACCCTAGACCCCTAAACCATAAACCCTAACCCCGAAACCATAGACCCCGACCCATAAACCCTAAACCCTCAACCCAAGAAATCACTTCTATCTCCACTCATAGCTACCCCTTAACCTCCGAGCAGGGCTTGTGGACTTGGTGCGTTGGATACTAAAGCTTGCCACGATGGTGAAGCGAACAGGAGTGTTGGGATTCGGGCTTAGAGATTGGGGCTTAGGGATTCGGGTTTAGGGTTTAGGGTGTAGCGATTAGGGTTTACGGACTGGGTCTTTAGCGGTCTGCATCTTAAGGACTAGGTGCTTCAGCGGGAACTTGGCAGCAGCCGTTTAGAAACATCCTCAATCTCAACTGCTGCCCTCCTCCACTTGGAGGTTCATGGCTAGTTATAAGTAGGATAAATATAGTTGCCCGTCTTCCAGGACTTAGAACTCCGCTTCTAACTACCCATGAACCACCAAGCACCTTTGGCTTGCATGTTGGGGGCAGACTTTGCGGGCTTAGGGCTTAGGCCCGCCATGGAACCCGGAGCAGACAGAAAACCACTCTATACAACCCTTTAGGGTTTAGGATGGTTTAGGGTTTAGGGTTTAGGGTTTAGGGCCCCCCACACACCCTTCGGACTCGGAAAGGAGGAGAAGATCTTTCGCATGGCCCCATGGCGCCACCAAGAAGCCAAAAAAAGAAGGAGCCCTAGCAAGCAAACCCTCTGAACTCTGAACCCGTAAATGAGCCCGAAATCCACCCACCCACACACACGCACACGCAC